GAGTTTCTCCCCAAACTTGGCACATTTTATCAAGTATCCTCTACCGCCCAGATTCTTTGGTGCCAAACAGAAGTGCAGCTCAAGTGGCAATCTTTTATCTGGAGGGCACTTCACTGCTTTATCCACTACTGCTTTCCAAAAAACCAGTATTTTTGTGGGAACCAGTAGGAGCCAAAAGTTCTATCTTTAAAAACTTTTACCAGTCGAGCTTGGAATTGAATACTGGGTACAAAAATTAAGTGGGACTAAAAGCCCTTAAGCAGGATAATGCCACTTTCTGCAGCACAAAGGCTGCTATCTGCATCTGTTCCCTAGACAGGTATCAGCTGTGGTACCTCTCACCGGGTTGGAGAGCCCAAGATGTTTCTCAACCAGTTCCATGCACTTCTCATCCATGAACTCAAAGGCAGACAGGATCTCTCCCAGCATGGCTCTGCAGGTCGTAAATGTTTCCTGAACCCGAGAGAAATCCTGACATCCTTCAGACAGATACAAAGATCAGAAACAAAAATCAATCCTTCAAAAGCTTTTACGGACTTTTTAAAAAGCCTGTATCGTGCTTGAAGTGATGCTTCCTGTCTCTAGGAAACAAAGAGTCCAGTGTGGGTTGGTTTGGGCTGGGGAAAAGGTTGGAGGAGAACAGCAGGAGGAGAGAGCAATTGGTCTTTACTGTGGCAAGGACCTCTCGCACATTCCAGGACAGTTCATAGCAAAGAATTTGCTGCACACTTAGTTCTCAACACGGGAAAGAAAGCAATCCAAGATGTATTTAAAGGCTCTTATGAAAGTTTAGGCAAATTCTTGGGTTCACTGCATGTATTCCATAGGTTTGCTCACTCATACCCTCTGAGGAGTTCAGCTGCCTGCTTCCAAGGACATATGTATTAGAAGCAAGCTGTCTGAGAAGCCCCATCTGGCATTTTTGAGAACAGAACAGGTCTCAGTGAAGGTTGCCTCCAAACAGTTCTGCTAAAAAGCTTCAACAAGGACTCCCCTTTCACGACTGTTCCCACTCCAGCATATAAATTCACATGTGATGCTTATTAATAGCAGTTCCTACCTAGGAACGCCAGATTCACAGCTTTAGGTTTCTGGGGGCAGAGTATAGAGACAGCTGTGATGACACCTAAAGTCCCCTCAGATCCAATGAAAAGCTGCTTCAAATCATAGCCAGTGTTATCCTTGCGCAGCGATGCCAAACAGTCCAGAACTGTGCCATCTGCCAGCACCTGTGAGAACACGGAGTATCAGCATCAATAACAGATGCTTCATGCACGAAGGCACTTTCTCAAAAGAGCCACAAAAGGAACAATTAAGAGAGGGAGACCGAAAAGGAACTTTTGCCTTCCTCACAGACAGCCAAGAGTAGAACAGCAGGAAAATGATAAGAGGTCGATGTGCCAGGAGCTACCAGGTGCTTGCCTTACCACTTCCAGCCCTAGCACAGTCCCTCGCAGAGAGCCGTATCTCAGCAGCCGCAGGCCTCCGGCATTCGTGGCCACATTGCCACCGATGTGACAGCTGCCTTTGGCTCCCAGGTCAAGGGGCATGATAAAGCCCCGCTCCTCCAAGTACTCATTGAGTTTCTCTAGGATGCAGCCAGCTTGGCACACCAGGATTCCTGAAACACAAACATCCTGCTACAGGCTGACGCCGCGGAGGAAGGTTCCTCCTGAAGAGGTGGGAAGAGTGCAAGCAGGCAGAACCACCTCTTCCTCCAAAACTTTCTGGAGTTCAATTAAAGCTGTAAGAACCCTGTGCTTGCTACAGGGCATTGTTCCATCCTTCTTCGACCCAGGAGGGCTTTACTACTGATTTAACATCTGGTCATCCGTAGCTCTGGGCATGCAAAATACAGTGATGTTCAGTCAACCTCTGCCTGGCATTCACTTCCCTTCTCACCATGTTTTAAGAACTGAGATACTCAAAGCAGTCTGTTTCCTAGCTTTCCAAACCCAAACAACACGTAAGCTTTCCCCATCCTTCCCTTCCCTGTTTGAATGGTTATCACACACCTCCTCCACCACTGTTGTTCTCCACCTGCTGGGTTTCTCATTTGGGTAACAGGACATACACCATCCTCTTATCTCTTTCTTCCTCTTTTCTGCCACCGGATATTTTCTTACATCTGCTCCTGTTATCACCTAAGGATGGCATCAGCAGCAGGAACAGGGAGGACACGAATCTCTGACGCTCCTTAGGATCCTGCTGGGCTGAGCCTTGCTGACCCCACAGCTGCCAGCTCCCATAAAACACCTCAGTTAGACCCAGGGGTCACTTCTGTGCACCACGTGTCTATGATACTTACCAGACACCGGGTCAAAGCTGATGATCTTGTTCATCAGAGCAGTGGAGAGAATGATCTCATCAAAGACAGGAACGCTGCCCCCAACAAGGCCTGTGTTACCCCCTTGTGGGCTCACTGCCAGGTTCCTCTCATGGCAGTACCTGGAAGGAAACAGGTTTCTCAAGCCTTAGGTCTCTTAAGGCCAATAATCCAGTCTATCAGAAGAGTCACTTCTACATCAATGCGCACTGTTGTGAGCGCTCAATCTGCTTAACAATTAAGCAATGTTTAGCCTAAAGATTAAATTGACACAAAGGGGCAGTTTCATTGTAAACACGAGAAAGCACAACTCCTCACTGCACTCACCCCAGTGCTGGACAAAAGAATGAACATTTGGGGCCATTCCCCTGAACAGATGCTGACGTTCAACCACTCCTGCTCTCATATTTCCAAACACAGGCAGTGCTGTTGGTGGACAAAACAATCTTCTTCCCTTTGCAGATGGGCCCTCCCTGGATCCCTTAACACAACTGCTTGAACTGAGCACGGGTACAGTGTCTAATTTTGACAATCCAGCAGAGCAGAAAAATTATTAATACTGAATCCATTTGTTTATCTCCCCCAATTTCTCTTCTCCACCTTGAGCACTCCAGACTCCCTTCTCATGAATGCCAACACTCATTTGAGAAGTCTGCTACCGCCCATTTGCCTTTGCATGGACCTCTGGCCATGACACAGGAATTCTGTTTTGCAGAATAAATCAAAGTTCAGCCTTTGGGCCTGCCTGATGCTACCGTGACACAAAAGCCAAGAGCCAGGGAGCACTGGGCCTATGAAACACGAGGCACATGTTCAAGTCTCTTTCTGCCTTTAAAAGCTTCAGCTCTCTGTGAAAACATTCTAAAAACGAACCTGTACATTCTTTCCTAAGAAAACTGTATAGCTAGTTACAGTCTCCTAGCAAACAGCCAGGAGGAACCCACTGGCTGGCCTGATCTATACTCACAGCACATTAGGAACTTAGGTGGAACACCAGATCTCCTCAAAACACACCAAACCCATGGTACCAAGAGCTTCAAAGACATTTTTTTGTCTTTTTACTCCAGAAGGAAAGAAATGGGGTAGTTTTGTCCCATCTGTCAGTACAAAGACAGTGACAAGTGATACTGCCTGCCCAGCAGCAAGCAAACAGCTCTGGATTAATAACAGCAGGCAGCGTTCCTGGCTTGGGTGCTGCTGGATTAAAGGGTGTGCAAAAAGATGAGAGTCCAAGGACAGCTGGGACATAAAGGGTACAAGGAAGAGCTGAAGTCACCAGAGGGACCAACAAGACAAAACCAGCTTCAGCAATTCCAGCGCTCACACAACTGCCTGACCGTCCTTTCCCCCGTGTGACCTTCCCAAAGCAAACCTGGGTTTCCTCATCCCACAGCCCTGTAAAAAAAAAACACGCATTACCTGAGAATTTGAGACACCTCTGCTGCTGTCTTTGGCTTCAACAACAGCTCGCTGCAGCCTGCAATGAAAGCATGGGACTCTCAAGGCAAGCCACAGGCTGTACAGAGAGCAGAATGAAGAAGGCGGCAAGGGATGATGTCTGAAACAGCAACACCCCCAATGCGAGGCGCAGTTAATCTAAAGCACTTCAAACAACTTGTAAAAACCTTTTATGTGTCAACAAACTTGGTTGCCAGAGTGAGCATGGGGAAATGTTCTCTATCTTAGGAAATGTTTTCTATCTTAGGACGAGAGGTGGTGGCCTTAAGCTGCATCAGGGGACGTCCAGCTTGGATATTAGGAAAGATGTCAGAAAGAGCAGTGAGGCACTGCACAGCTGCACAGAGGTGGGGTCACCGTGCCTGGAGGCGTTCAGAGCTGTGGGGATGTGGCACTGAAGGACGTGGGCAGAGGGCACGGTGGGGTTGGACCTGGGGATCTGAGGGTCTTTTCCACCCGTAGTGATTCTGTGAGTCTGTTCTTATAGAATCTTTGACAAAAGGCAGAATTCACAACGCTCGTTTCTGAGGCTTGGTCAAAAACTCAGAAGCTATGAAGCGAACACACTGCTTTTAGGAAAACAATTTGCTTTTACCCTGAACCATCAGGCAGCTCGTATCTCCTGCGAGGAAAAGCCATTCTGTCGGGTCTGCGAGTAGAGACGAGCGAGGTTTCAGCAGCGCTGGGACACCAGCAGCCCCACTTACCTCGGACTGATTTCAGCCAGTCCACATTAGAGGATTTCAGCTCCTCGGGGTTCGAGCACGCCCTGCCCGGCATGAGGCCCTCAAAGAAAGCCGCATCGTCGCTGCCGAGGCGGGCGAAGGGCAGCCGCCGCAGGCCGTAGCGCTCGCAGGTGAGCGGGACCTCCTGGCGGCGGGGCCGGGCGGTGTGCAGGGCGTTGCCAGGGCGCTGCCGGGACCCGACAGCAGCGCGGCACGGCCGCCGCAGCTCATGGGCCGGGCTCTGCGGTCGCCACGTCCCGCAGGATCCCGCCAGCCGCCTCAGCTGCGCCCAGCCGTGCCGCACGGGGCGGCCGGAGCCTGCGGAGATCCCCATGGCCGAGCCGGGGAGCAACGAGAGGCCCGGCTGAGCCGCACGCCGCCTGCCGGCCTCTTCTGGCCGCGGGATCCCGCAGCGCCCCCCTGCGGGCGGGAGGACCCCGTCCGCGCGCTCCCAGCGCCCGCTTGCCCGCCCTCTCATCACCTCCGACAGCTCGGTTCCCAAAAATATTTTATTTATATCAATATATTCATTATCCATAACGTGATCCAAAAATACAGATATACATTTATTTTTTTTTAACTTTACATTCTTCTTTTTTTTTTTTTCATAAAAAGATTTATATTCTCTTCCATTTACAAAGGGAACATAGATCTAATTCCTTTAAAAAATAGAGCTGTTGGGTTAACATCGTTTCACCTCCAGTTTGGCTGAGCTGTAGTAAAGCTGAACACTTTGGTGCATTGACAACTGTCAGTGGAACATTCCTCTCCGCACCACAGTCTGTCCATCCTTCTCCATAAGGGCGTATTTAACACTGTACATTCAAAATTCAGGAGAAAGATTTTAACTCTTTTGCGACCAGAAGTGAAGGCTGTGGGTCCCCCAGCCCAGGGGCAGGCTGGGCTTATTGCTGGTGTGGGTTCTGAGGACACATTGGTGGTGTCACGCCGTACGGAGCAGCCAGGTCTGCACCACGTGCTGATCCTGGGTCCTGCTGAAGAAGCTTCCTTCCCTTTGAGGATTGATGCCAACTTCTAGAACGTTGTTTGATTTTTTTTTTTTTGCTTTGCTGGTTGAAATAGAAAGCATCTGCTTGTCCAAGCCCAAGAAAGCACGTACTAATAAAGTACACTTTGCTGTCCCACCTGATCATCTTTCCCGAGTGTAGAGCAGTCAGCTTGGCACTGACCTGCACAGCTGTGCGTTTCCATACCCGCAAGATCTCCCAAGAGGCACAATCTACTTTTGGATTTGTTTCAAATCCAACGCTTGATTTACAGTGATACCATGACTGTTACAGCCTTGGGAGACAAGGGAAAAAAGTTTACAATAGCATTGGACAGAAGGAGAAAACAGAACTTGGGACAGCATCATAGCCTTCAGGTCAGCCACCCTTACGAGGAATCCAGTGTAGCAGGTCAGTGAGGTACAGGCTTACTGCTGGTACTGAATCACAGGCTGGCTCATGAGGTATCGCAATTATATTTACTCCCAAAACAGAGGCAGAGAGGAGGAGAAGGCCGGCTGTATTTCTAAGCCCAGCTTTGTGAGATTGTGCTTTTCCTCTCCCTTCCCACCAGCGTTCTGTTTCTAACCTGTCTGTGTAGTTTCGGGATGCTTTTACAACGGCAGCAATGACAAACATGCATCTTCCTGTAAACATCAACTACAGAAACTTCATATAAAACGTGGAGTGATGCAACGCAGCAAAGATGTACAATGCCACACTTCCAACAACAGGACCTTGCAGACAGGCTCTCTGCACAGCAGATACATCAGAAGGTTCACAGAAAACCTGTCTCAGTACCAAAAGGTTTCTCTGCGACAATCCTAACATACCTGCAAGCAGCTACAAACCCAGAGCAAAACAGGAAGGCTAAACTGGCATGAGCTGAGTTCTACTTTCCTTCATGGCAAAACACAAATGAGAGGGTCAGGGCAAGACAAGAAAAAACTTTTTTCTTTTGGAAGCTGGTGCCAAAGTCAGATTAGATTTGTTTTGTTTTGGTTTTCTTCCCTTCTGTACTGTTTATTCAGGTTGTTTTTAAAGCAGAAGAAAGGGCTTATCTGGAAGCCTTTCCAACAGCCTGTATCAAGAGCTGGTATGCAGAGCAATATGCAGATGCCATTAACAGCCATCACAGGCTCACAGACCCTGCTCCATCCTGCTGCAGGGCTTTTTGCTTTGTTTTCTCCCTCCCCTGGCAGAACAACCTTTACCCACAATGTCTCTGTTGTAGGCAGTTAAGCCCCATAAGACAGGAGATACCTAAAGACAACAGTTATCTGTTCTTCCCTCCACTTCTGCATCCACTGTTAACTCAGAGGAAGGAGAAAAAAAAAACAACTAACAGAACACAGAGTTTTGTTTTCCTACTCATGATTTCCTTCTCATCCTTTTGCTGCAGCAACTGACACTGTGATGACAGCAAGCATTCACATTCGAGATCTGAAAGGCAGCTTCAAGAGGTCAAGAGCTGACAAACTTGCCTCCTCGAAAAAGACATGCAGTAATTTAAAGACATTCCTGCTGCACTGCCTTCTCTAATGGCACTTTTTCATAGCAAAAGCTACCCAAAAACCAAACTCCCACCACACTACCACACGGCCACCCTCCAGCTTTGCTGCATCATCACTGCCACGTACACATTGTCCTCATAGAATCTCCCCTTAAAGCTTGAGATATAACAGAAAATCAGGCCTTCATCTTTCTGTATGAATAAATCGGACCCCCTGTCACAATACTTTAGGTTTCAATTTCACAGTAACATGCTTAAAAGCAACAAAAACGGACAGGAAAGGTAACTTGTTTTCTCAGTACTACTGTAACACTGCAGGACAACTCCTTTGATATTTAGAGGTTTTGTTCCAGAAGACACAAGCCTTTTACAGAAGGAGGTTAAAAGCCATAAAGTTTGCTTCTGTTGAGGCTGTAACGTGGATGTGAGCAAAACCAAGTAACAGAAAGGCAGTGCAGAGTTAGACAGAAGAAATTCCCCAAATGAGAAGACATGGTCTTCTCTCTCCCATACTCACCCTGCCAAAAGTAAGCACAGCATTTGGCTTTGAGGAAAACAGACACTGTAAAAAGCCAATAAGCTTTCTTGATCCTCTCTGTACTACAAAACTGCACAACAAATGGGCATCACACCAAAACAATGGAGTTAATCCTTTCCTGTAGGCTGCATGAGAGAGAATTGCTTTTTCTGTCATGCTAAGCTCTGAGTCTGAATGTCTTCAGCGATGGTATGCATCATACTGAAGAGGTGGGTATCTCAATTTCCTGCAGTGCCTCACAGGGTTTAAGAGACTCCTAAAAACAAGCAGACTACAGCTATGGGCTGTCCTAGCACTTCAGAGTAACACTGATCTCAGTGCTGTGCGAGAGTAACATAAATAAAATCCCTGTGGCACATTCCTCCCTTCCCAAAGTCACTTTTCACAAAAGAACAGGAATTACAACTGGACAATTAAATAGCATATCAGAAACGGAGGAGGGCAGGTTTTAAGATCACAATCGAAATCAAAGATGATATTGCAACATGAAGGAAGGAATATATTAAAACTCTTCTTGCCTCAGAGGAGGTATTTCCCCTTTACTTCTTACTTTTCTTTTTTTCCTGAACACAGCGCGGACAAAACCTACAGAGAGAAAAAAAAAAAGACAAAACTGGCTGTTAATTAGTACCTAAAATTAACAACGTATTACTCGGAAGCCTTTCTATTACTTGGAAATGAGTGGAGGTGGTGTTAATTTTAGCCAACCGCAACACTTCACATGGCATGCAGCAAGATTGGGCAGAGAGGGAAGGAACTGTAATGGAGTCTGGTGGGCAGAAGGGTCAGCACTGGAAGGCTTCTGGGGCTCACCTGCCCCTCACAGCTCGGAGCCACTCTATTTCATTCACCCACAAGTTATTCCAACTGAATTCCTCAAGGTTGGTACATCAACTTCCTCCAGAGCTAAAGGAGCTAAGGATAGCCCGCTCCAATTCCTCCTCTCCCTCCAATGATTGCAACCAGTGCACCTCTGCATTACCTCACTTCTAATACACAACTTACAGTCAGACTAAGAAAGTCACCAAACAAAAAGATTTGCATGTCTTTAAAAGTCTGCAGACTCAATAACCAGCTGGTCACTCAACTGCATGCTGCCACTGCAATATCTGATTGCAGTGCAATGAAACCAAGTCATACTATTTGCTCCCACTTAATGCAGTAGTGCTGTTGGGTTTCCTCTTAAAATTTTGCTTTTGTTATATGAATTGAAGAGTGTGGCATTTTAATTGCAAAAGACAACGTTTAGCAAAGCTTTTGTCCTTTGCAAAAGAAAGTAAGCACAGAAAAAGCCTATGACTCTTTCTAAAATGGGCACATAGGTAGGTGAAGAAACGTTGTAGTCTTAAATTGTGCTCCCCTAAGCAGAATAGAAAATATTCTTTTCCCAACCTTAATCACAGCAACAAATGCAGACATGAGATGTAAGCTGTACACGCTGACAAAAGCCTAAGCTCATGAATTGCTCTGCTTATCATGAAATTTTACATGCCTGGGTCCTTGTTTTGCTCCCACGGAAATCTAAGGAAGCTAAGACTCCTGTGGAAACAGCCTCTAGGAAAAACTGTCCCCTTCTACCTTCACATAAAAGCAGTCCCCAACCCAACATGATGTAAACCTCTGACCACAAGAACAAAGTTCCTTTGTCAGGAAAGGTCACCATGGGGTTTCAATTCTGTTTGTGATTCTTTTCGAGAGAAACTGCAGCTTGACAGAAATCAAAAACCTGTGTGTCCTTACCATTTCCCTTTTGGTTTGGTGGTGAGGTCCACACAAGCGAAGTGGAACCACTCAATGGGGCACTGCAAAACAAAGGAAAAACCCACAGAGGAGATGCTTAGCATTTTACCAGCTCTACGTTCACTTTGGATGATCAAATTAGCAAGTACCTCCCTCGGATTTCACTGGGCTGTGATGCTGCAAACATCATTTCAAAAGACACGGGGTGCGTTTTGATGATGAAATCATAGAATCATAGAATCACCAAGGTTGGAAAAGACCTAAAAGATATCCAGTCCAACCGTTCACCTGTTCCCAATAGCTCCCACTAAACCACGTCCCTCAACACAACATCCAGTCTTTCCTTGAACACCCCCAGGCTCGGTGATTCCACCACCTCCCTGGGCATCCATTGCAGTGCCTGACCACCCTTTCTGAAAAGTAATACTTCCTCATGTCCAGCCTGAATCTCCCCTGCTGTAGCTTGAAGCCATTCCCCCTGGTCCTATCACTAATGACACGAGAGAAGAGGCTGACCCCCAGCTCACTACAACCTCCCTTCAGGAAGTTATAGAGAGCAATGAGGTCTCCCCTGAGCCTCCTCTTCTCCAGGCTGAACATTCCCAGCTCCTTCAGCCTCTCCTCATCAGCCCTGTGTTCCAGACCCCTCACCAGCTTTGTTGCCCTCCTTTGAACACATTCCAGGGCCTCAATATCTTTCTTGCAGTGAGGGGCCCAAAACTGGACACAGCACTCGAGGTGCGGCCTCACCAGTGCTGAATACAGGGGTACAATCACCTCTCTGCTCCTGCTTGCAATGCTGTTTCTGATGCAAACCAGGATGCCATTGGCCTTCTTGGCCACCTGGGCACACTGGCAATAAAGCAATAAAGCAAGTGCTTACATCTGGGTTGTCGCAGCCAATCATCTCCCCGTAGGACACCTGGTGACACAAGCAGTAGGTGGGCTCGTTGGGGTCCACAGGCATGTCCAGGACATCTGAGGGATGCACTGACAGGATGGTGTCAGCAAACTCGGAGCTGCAGACAAGGATAAAGCACTTGTCACTTACAGGTGACAGAACATTCCCAAGAGGTGGGAAAATTAATTTGCAACAGCCATTTAATTGTTTTTAAATCAGAAAGTGGGTTTGAGCTAATACAGAAATACGAGCTTGACTGTAAAGGATTGAAAGACTGATTTGTAGATTCTACGAGTACATGGCTACAGTAACAAAATTCCCATACACCTCACTTCTGCCTGCAGTCAGAATAACCTGATTATTTTTTTTTTTTTTTCCCCTAAGCCATTTTAGTACACACTCTTCTCTCCTTGTCAGGTATGAGGGAACCACCTTGCTCTGAGGAGCTTTGACACAGCAGTAACACTTAACAGAAAATACTTCCTTTCTTCTCAACTCGCCCCTCCATTTAGCCAATCGAATATATTGGAATTAGCAGGGTCCCTTTAAAAAAAAATCACATGCCAGAGAGGTTAAATGCCCTCCTTCCTTGCTTCACAGAACAGAACTACATTATTCAAGACTATTTAGGAGACAGCTGCTGTTTAAAAACAACCATGAAAACTCTGCAAGATCTCTACAACAGCAACACAGCATCAGCATTTGTCCCAACAGGAAAGTTTCTTTACAATGAATATCACAAGCAACTGTTAAAAATAGCTGCATGACAAAAATCAAAAGGTATTTTCTCCCAGCTTGCCAACAGCAACAGAGACTCTGATCTCGTCCTTCCAGACAGAGGGCATTCCAAGCATGCTGGGTTTCCACGTGGCAAGCAAGGAGTTAATTAGTCAAGCTAACTTGTCTTACGGCGGGCTCCAATTAGTGAGACCAGGATACTGAACACCACTATCATCCCAACAGGAGAGTCATAAACAGGGTAACATAAACACGAGGAAATTCATGAAGTGTTGAACCCAAGTCATCAGAAGTGTGACTGGATACTTCTTACCCTCCTTTCAGCTTCTTTTTCTTTGGTGTGTCCTCTTCAGACGTCCGCTTACCTCGACCACGAGAGCTTCTTTTGTCTTTCTGACTTTTTCCCTCTATAGAGACAGATAAAGCATTGCTTCAATCAGTTTGAATACCATCGTCAGGCGTTTTTCTTTTGGTGCATTCACTGTTTTGAAATCTGTCTGTCACATGCAACTGAACACAAACACTGATTATGAAATGCACATACACTTTTCTGCCACAAACACACCCATTTTGCAAGTAATATCCCTAAGTGTCTAAATCCTACATCTGCAGTTCTGGCAATTCATAGAATCATAGAATGGCCTGGGTTGAAAAGAACCACAGTGCTCATCCAGTTTCAACCCCCTGCTGTGTGCAGGTCACCAACCAGCAGCCCAGGCTGCCCAGAGCCACATCCAGCCTGGCCTTGGATGCCTGCAGGGATGGGGCATCCACAGCCTCCTTGGGCAACCTGTGCCAGTGCCTCACCACCCTCTGGGTGAAAAACTTCCTCCTAAGGCCTAGCCTAAGTTAGATCACCGTATTTTATATTAGTCCACAATGTCACGCAAGACTTTAAATAGCAACATATTTGATTAAATACACAGATCTTCAAATCTAAGTGACAGACTGAGGCCAAGATTGTTAAACTCAGTAACTGTAGGAACCACAGGCTGAGCATCAGCTCAGTATTGTCATAGTTAGTTCTCCCTTAGCCAGTAGCGTCCTTACAACCAGTGACCACTTCAGGACACTGACAAGGAGAGCCCAGCACTAAATCTTTTCCTTCTCCTGTTTATTGCCCAGTGCAACTCTATAAATACCTGAAGAGCATTTAAAATAAATATGGGATTACACCATAGCATCTAGAAACGACAGTCTACTCTGCACCCAAGGCCCTCTGCTTAGACATGCCCAGTGCTGGAAAAGGCTGCTAAACACACAACATTTACACACTTTTCGGGTTTCGTGATCCAGAGCTTTCGAAGTCACTGCCCTCCAGTTTATCCTTCAGATCCGCTTCAAACCGCGCCAAGTCCGCATCCAGCCGGCGGATGTGCTTATCCACCTGCACAGAGAGGAAACCACAGACTGAACTAAAAACACAGAAACACTCCCACTGCAAAACAAGGAAGGTCTGGTAGCTTGGCTGCTCTCCCTAAGAACATGAATGTAACAGCTCAAGGCAAGGTATGAAGGGCATATCAGACTGGAAAAGGGAAATGGTGTACACAAAGGGAACTGGAGCACACAGAGAGAGGAAAAAATGCTGAAGAAAAGCAAGTGGACTGAACCCACATGCAAGCAAAAAGAAAGGAAGGAAAAGGGAGTGGGGGAAGGAGAGTCCAAGCAACCAGACCAACAGTTCGTAGGACAGCACAGAAAGATTTTTTTAAAAAGTTCTCTTTCTGCCACTTTGAAAATACATTATTCAGTTGGTATCCATTACGTGTGAATATTTTCTGTGGTATTTCACTAGCACACTATTTAATGAAATTTAATAACGAAGACAGGCTATCTCCAATATCGTCAGCACACATTAGGTGTCTTCTAACCTCCACAGTAATATGGTTTGCAGAACAGAGGTGCAATAAAGGTGTTCAAACCTTCACCCCCACCCACAAAACAGCTGTGCTGCTGCAGTACCTATTCATGAAGTTGGTGTTTACCCGGGAGACATGAAATTATTTCCTTTTCTGCAGTATTTGAAGTACTGCAGCTTTACTAATTAGAACTCAAAGCATCCCTAGAAGCTACTTACAGCACACTAAGTGCAGACAAAAAAGGGATTCCCCTCGCTTAAAGTCACTTATGGGATAAAATGCACAGAGAATTACTCAAAGAACAGATAAATGGACAGGAATCAGTGCAGAAGAGGAGAAAAGTGGAGATGTGCACCTTCAGAAATGCCATTTTCCCACTAAGCCCAACAGGCAGAGCCGGACCTCTGTCACACAGGAGCTGACAGAGTTCCATGCCTTGGGATCCAAGGCAACCAAGTGGAAACGGTTCCCTCAGCTCCTACACAACGTAGCTTGGAAGCTGACCTAAAAATTGCTGCTTATGACCAGACAGCCCTAAGTGAACGACTGGGTGAGAGGCAGGTGGGCAGGGCGAGCTGGCTGTCAGTGCTGCTGACAGAAAAGAAGTCTACTCGACACTAAACCCAGCAACACAAGGGCAGGAGTTCGGGGAAAGCAAAAGCAAGAGAAGCAAGCCGGAAAATGAATACTCTGTTTCGGTAAGATACTGAAGGCAAATACACGAGCAGAAGGACAAACAGAGCCGTGCCTTCAGAGCCCAGCAGCAGCCCCAGCCAAACGGCGGCCACGCAGCGGTGTGACAGCACTCACCATCTCGTAGGTCTGCATGGCCAGCTGCACTTTGTCGTCGCTGTACTCCTTGCATTTACTGTAGGCGCTCTGGATCCTCCTCAGGTGCTCCACTCGCTGCTCGGCTGACATGTTCTTCACCGACTCGATGTACTCTGCGGCCAGGCGGTCAATTTCGGCTTTCTTATCTGTAAAGCCCAGACGCCGCACGCACGCGTGAGAAAGCCGTGCTCCCAGAGGGAGCGTTATTTCCCCCCCGGCTGCCCGCGCTACGGGAAGACCCTGCACACCTTCCGTCCTCTGGTCCAGCTCCCGCATCAGCTGGAAGTTCCGCTGCAGCTCGCACGGCAGGTTCTCGATGCCTGAAACAAACACGCAGCGCCATCAGGGCCGCTCCCCTCGCGGCAGACCCACGCGGGGACTCCCGGCGCTCCCGCCCGCCCCGCTCGGTCCCGTGTCGCGGCGCGGATCCCGCCCGGCCGCGGCCCCGCGCTCACTGTCCAGGTAGTGCTCCAGGTACATGGCGGTCGCCATCTTGCGGCCCGCGCCCCGCCGCCGACAGCCGCCCGCCCGGCCCGCAGGACACGGGCCGCGGCCCCGGCCTCATCGCATATTCACGAGGCGCTCCGTGCCCATTGGCCGCGGGGGGCGCTCCGCGTTGCATATTCATGAGGGCGGGGCCTAGATGTCGGTTCGGAGGACTTTGTCTCTATGGCTCCTCGCCGCCTAGAGCGGCGATGGGGGGAAGGGGAAGCGGTGAGGGGAGGGGGAGGGGAATATGGCGGGCGGGCGCGGCGCGTTAATCGTGCTGGAAGGGATGGACCGCGCCGGGAAGAGCACGCAGAGCCGGCGGCTGGTTCAGGCGCTGCAGGCCGCCGGGCACCGCGCCGATCTCCTCCGCTTCCCGGGTATGGGTCTTGGGGTGTGGGGGGCTCCACTGAGAGACGCGGCCGGGCCGCCGACCTCTGGCCCGCTTGGTTACAGAGAGGACGACGGAGATCGGGCGGCTGATCGGCGCCTACCTATCGAGGGAGAGGGAGCTGGAGGACCACGCCGTGCACCTGCTGTTCTCCGCCAATCGCTGGGAGCACGTGTAAAGGGCGGGGAGGGGGACGAGGGGCTGGGGAGGCAGGCACAGGAGGTCACAAATCAAGGCTGCGGGCCCCGGGGCGGGCTGCGATGCCCAGCCGAGGGCCTCGGTCCTGAGAGAGGCTGTGCGGGCCGCGGCCTGGTGAAGGAGCGTGGCTGCGGGGCCACACTGCGTTCCTATTGTCCTTCCAGCCATAAGTGAACTTCTCTCTCTCTGTTGGGGTGCTCCTTCTGAGTCCCGGCCAGCAGCTCCCTGCCTGCTGCCGCTTAAGGAAGCCAATGGAGTTAATCATTCACCCCTGCCACGCCTCCATGTCACCGCCTGGATTCTGAATCATAGAATCATTAAGGTTGGAAAAGACCTCTAAGATCTCCGAGTCCAACCCCACGTCACCGTGCCCACGTCCCTCAGTGCCACATCTCCACAGCTCTGAACGCCTCCAGGGATGGTGACTCCCCCACCTCCCTGTGCAGCTGTGCAGTGCCTCACTGCTCTTGGTGAGATGAAATTTTTCCCAATATCCAACCTTCTTTCAATGCACCATTGCTTCGTGGCAGCCCAAAGGGACTGGACAGATCACAACGTCACTGGGCCTGGGGCACAGCCTTTGAACTTTGAACTGCAGCAAGAAACACTGTAAATAAGAATGCTTTTCTCTGTCAGAAGCAGTATATCACAAGCCTGTTGCATCGCTTATGGAGGATGGAAGACTGAGCTGTTTGTGCCCGGCTGTTGCTCTGATCAGTGATCCTGCGTGTGAGCTGTGGAGCTGCTCTGAGCAGTATCCTGCACATGCATCTGAGTGTGCGTGTTCTGAAGGGGTATTTCCTTTATGCCATAGAAGGCAGAGCACAAATAGTAATTGATCCATGATTGTTGTCATGGATAACGCTGATGTTGCTCATGATCACACTTTGTGATGAAGTACGTTAACAGACAAGTGCCAGCTTTGTGAGCTGTCTTTACATAAACTCTTGTTATTTGTCTCTCTATTGACTATTTTTTTCTCCCTCTTGGTTTTCAGAACATCAATGAAAGAGAAGCTCCATCAAGGGATCACGCTTGTAGTTGACAGATACGCCTTTTCTGGAGTGGCCTTCACAAGTGCGAAGGAGGTGAGTGGGGAATGTGGCAGGCCCTGCCCCTCTCTGTATCTGGGGAAACAGGAGATATGTAGAAGCTTGGTCTGGACTTCAGTTTCTGTGGTCTGGGCTTTTCCTGTGGGGAAAAAGTGGGTTGGAACTGAGGGATGAAAGGGATTTCAACTGAGGTATTGACATGGCCTGTTTGCCTGTGTGCTTGTGTCTACCTTAGAAAAAGTAGAGGAACGTGTTAGGTTGCTTACCAATGTGGTAGGCTCACTCCAGTACCATACTGGGGAGCCCCAAACCAGACATAGTGCTGAACAGAAGAGAAGGATTCTTTCCCTTGACCCACCAGATGCACTCATGCTTATACGACCAAGCTGAGTAAGCCTAGGGTAGGTATTTTAAAAGGAGTCTTTGTGGGCTGTGCCATACTAAAACTGCATGACATTTATGTTCCAGAGCAGCCTTCTTGTGGACCGATAACAGCTGTGTGGAGACCTCAGAATATGACTCAGTATTTCCCCCTGCTGGGCTTTGTGGAAGAGGTGTTAAAATCATTAGCTTTACTTAGCTTCAGTGAGAAGCTGAGAGGTACACAGTGCCTGGAAAAATCTGGATTCCCAAAATCACAGGGTTGAATTCACAAATATTAAACCAGAATATCTCCTTTTCAGTTCGTAGCACTGTGCTCAGCGATCTGTGCTGCATCCCTATGACTGTCCCTCCCTCAATCCCACTCTAGCTGCCCTTCTCTCCCTTGTTCTCATTCCTTTTTTTTGTCACTTCAGACTTGATTTTCTTTGTTTGGGACAGAACTTCTGCCTGGAGTGGTGCAAACAGCCTGATGCTGGCCTCCCAAAGCCAGATGTGATTCTCTTTCTTCAGCTGAGCCCAGAGGAAGCAGCAGCACGAGGGAACTTTGGAAAAGAACGTTATGAGAATGGCCCCTTCCAAAAAAAAGTTCTGCAGTCTTTCCATCATTTGATGAATGAGAAGACATTAAACTGGAAGGTGAGGAAATAACCCTGAGGGTTCTGTCATGGACTGGGGCTGGGAGGAGGGTCTCACGAGAGCTCCTGGATTGCACACATTGTTTCCCCGTGCTTCCTGTCCCTGCCAAAGGGCAGGGGGTTGTGCTGGAGAACCAAAGGCACAGTGGCCTGTGGGCACCTGCTACTCTGGGACACTTTAATGGGCCCTGTTGGAGTCAGGGGAAGAGTTTCTTTTGTTTTGCACAAAAACTTATCTGGAAATCATACTCCTTAAGGACGAGTTGACAAACCGGGGTAAAAAATAGTGAGACACACACCCATGCTCCTTCGTATGTTTCTTTCCTTTCTATCCTGCAGCATCTGGATGCTGAAATCCTTGGAGGTTTTGGGGCCTTCCTGCAGCTTCTGTCTCCCTTACTGACTTTCCTTTTCACATAGCCAGTCTTGACCAGCATTTACTATCCTGCTAAACAAGAAGTCTCTCACAACACATGATCTCTTTTGTTTCATACTCCTACATCACTTTTCCTTAGTCATCCCTTGGAGCTATTTCCAAAGGGTTGCACAATCAGCAGGCAGAAGAGGAAGCATTCCCTATTGATCCTGAGTGCAGGTGACCTCAGGAGAGGCTTTTCTGGTCTGGACAACCTTCTTACCATCTCCATCGCTCTGTTGGTACTCAGCCATGAGTTACAGGAAGCATTTTCTGTGTAGGCTGTAGCTTTCAGAGATAAAGAAGTACACATTATGGTTAAATCACTAGTCACCATGGGCTGGAGATGTATGCAAAACTGGATGTATTGCCAAATGATCAGACTGCATAAGGCAAATGTGGTTTGTCACAGCCCACTTCAGGTAAACCTGATTCTGTACCATGGGAGAGTTTGTATGTAGCAGAACCTGAAGGAACAGTTCCCAAACTAGGAGATGTATTTTTATTCCAGTAAATGTCATGTTAGGAAACGGCCTTTCCTACATCATAATGACTAGGTAAATGGGCTGATGAAAAACTCATAACGAAGCACTAAAACTAAAAGAAGAAAAATAAGCATACTGTCAGAATAATCATATGAAACAATACAGAACTTACTTTATGTCTAGACTGCAAGCTCTGATTTTTAAGAGACTCCAGTAATGTATTTCCCTGATTACCTGTCATCTGTTATTTCTCTTTTTTTTTCACCTATCCACTATGTAAAAGGAGTTTTCGTTTAAAGTGTTGGCAACGTGTCTGCTTAAAATCCCCCAAACTGCAGCACTATTAAATAGATACATACCAAAAGAGAAGATGGAAGAGGTGAGAGGTCCCTGAAAGGAGTACAGAAATCCCATTTCAGTGCCCTTTAACAATTAGCATTCCTGCCTATTTCCCCCTCAGCATCAGATAGAATAATAGACACCAAACTAATAATAGATTGCCAAAGATCCATTTAGTCCAAGACATGACATGGAGCTCAGTGCTATCAGTTAGAAAAATAAACTGAGATCAGCAATCTGCTTGATGTTGGGTGCTCACAAAGCTGAGCTGTTGGTTGTGCCATAATGAGAAGACTGCTGCTTAATTACCAAATATATTTGTTGCATAGCCTCACAGCCTGCTGCATGGTGCAGCACTGCACAGGTCGTCGTGATAAAGCTGCACCTGCTTTCATCTTTTAACCAATTCCTTCCTTCACTTTGGGTATTGGTGAGTAATCATAAAGCCATGGAAACACAACTCTCACCAGTTCATGTTGATTTGTGGTGACCTGCAAAATGTAATTCTGAAGATGGAACTGCCAGCTAAAAAACATCTGCTGATAAAAGCACATGAAATGATGTTGTGTTTATGACCGAAGTTCCCGCAGTCACACAGGTGCAGTGCTAGTTCTTAAACATCAGGCTCAGCGGACACCAGAATCACACTGTGCTACCAGATTGCAGTGTTTAACAAAAACAAAACACAAAAGAACAAATTAAAAGTGGCAGATCACAGGGACTGGATTGTGAGAGGTTGTTATTCTGGATGGAGTTCATTTTGAAGAACCTCTGAGGGATGATACACTGAAGTTTCTGGGGCACTACAGTACATGGTGAACAATGTTTACCTGGCTTGAGGTCAGAGGCTGTCAGCAAAAAAACATGCAGCAGTGGTGTCTTGTTTCCCTTCATCTTCTCCACATCTGCTTGTTAAATGTACGTTCCTGGGTGAAACAGACTTTCCAGTTCCACTGCAAAAGTAGTGCACAAGAGGGGTGATTAGCTCCTGTCAGTGCTTCTGGATGGTAACAATTTTGAGTAAAGGGGGGAGCAGAAATAACAGGAAGATGGGTTTTTCCCATATTGGAAATTGAGGAATGTTTCTATGCTTTTGGTGTTTTTTTTTGTCTTGGAAACAGACAATGGATGCTTCAAAGAGCGTAGAAGACTTGCA